TAGGACTGGTTGCTTCCAGGAACGGATTCGAGAGTGTTTCAATAAGCTTTTAGCTTCCAACACAATCGAACTAAAATAAATTTGTATAAACCAAAGGGCAATGTGTGATTATTTGTACTTAGATAAAATCAATTGCTTTAAATCAACTACAGTTTTTTTTTCTATCACAGGCTTAATTTTTAAAGATTCGGTGTGCAAATTTCGAATAAATCTTACCTCAGAATTGTTCGTTTGTCTTTCCCTTTTGTCATGTCCAACATAATCCCCGCACGCAGTATCATGACAAACAGGACCCAATTCGCCTAAAACAAACACAAAAGAATACTACAAAACAAAATCAAGAAAAAAGGGCAAATAGGTGAATCATTTGAAAATGAATGGAGGGATTAAATCGTTCCGCAACTGAAATGGGCCTACATGTTTAAATAGAGTAAAAAGTCTATTTATACATTTCATTACATGTTTTTAATTGGACCTTGCTATCCATGGCAAAAATTATATGTTCCGCAACTGAAGTACATGTGTAAATAGAATTAGAAGTCTATTAATACATTACATTACGTGCATTTCCATTAGACCTTGCTATTTTGCATAAAAGGTATACCAAAAATGAAATAATTAGACTATTCTTATACAAACAAAACTAAATATCAATAATTAATGGGTTATGGTTTTGTTCCTATACTAATGGCTGTTAGTAATGATTGTCAGACTAAAGGATTGCTTAAGATAATCAATGATTTCTTTCTTTTTTTCTTGGAAAAAAAATATTGTATCGTCACAAACGATACAATACGGAGCAGCGTTTGATAACCATTGTGCGTCATACAAAAGACGTAAACGCCTATTAGAAACTACAGTATGGAAATGCTCGTCATCGGCGGTAGCAAAAAGCAGAAACAAAATAAATGAAAATTGCAGACTCGATTTTATTTGAGTCTGTTTATGAGAGATAATGTTAAGTGCGAGTTCTCTCACACCCCTTAGCACCAGCTTTAAAAGCGGAATTCAATCTTTAGCATTAAATGATTAAAATATATATTTACCACTTGAATCAGAAAGACAGGAAACAGGAACGCCATTCGCGTGTTTCTTTCGGATGGCAGCCAACACCTGAAGGTAAATTGATATGTTTTTTTTTTCTTTTTCACTTCAACACTCCTACATCTCAGTTGTACTTCATTTGTATTAATAAGGTACATTGGCATTATTTTAACAGTTACAATGTTGCACTTAGAAATGCCGTTAAAAGTCAACTTTCTATGATCATTGTAAATACTAGTAGCATATGTTGCGATAGTGAACAATTAATCTGATTGAGTATTGATTTTATATAACAATATACGATAAGTTTTTATTTAGAAAACTCTTTCTTATTTAGACATATTGCAATGAATGTTACCAAAAATGGTCTTGCATTCTTATTAATATTATGAATTAAATGTAGACGATATGAATTATTTTTGAACGTGTTTTCTTATGGCTATATTACAACGAGAAACCACAAAGCAGAGTTCAGTGAAAAATAAAAATGAGCGCACATTTCGCATCATTTTGTTTATGAATTGCGCGACAACTCTTACCTCCCCTAGCATCGGGTTTATTTAAGCAGTATTCGCTCTCAAACACTTTAAATATTAAAAACAATAACCACGAAGGACCAGAAGTTATAAAACATTGAGACAAGTACGGGGTATCATTTTGCAGTTTTTGAAAAAATATATTAAAAATTTTACGATTGTACATGATCCTACAGATTATTACGTCACTTCCCGTGACTCATAAAGATCATACAGCGTCTATGTTAGAGCTATGAGATAGAAAAACCTATGGTGGCTGATTCGGAACGCTTTTGTGCGTCGTGTTGGCGCTAGCGACAACAGCACAAAGCGCAAAACGGACTTTCGTCTTGTCGTCCTGTCGCTAACGATGTACTCCAAAGGCCAAATCGAAGGATTGGCTTATAAGCCAAGCGACAGGGCGACATAGCGCCGTACGACAACGCGCCGTTTGGCGTGCTTCGCTAGGGACAGGACAACAAGACGAAAGCGCGACAAATCGCCGTTTGGCGCTATGTCGTGTTGTCGCTAGCGACAAGACGAAAAGGCGATAACGATATAGGTTGCGTTGTCTCTATCGACAACGCAACGTGCAATGTATCAAATCAGCCACCATAACAACCGATGTCATCGCGCCACTTTCTATAACGTACAATGAAACGGAAAGTGGCACAATCTTCCGAAATCATTCGTTTTGAAAGAGAATTGAAAATCGTGTCTTTTACCGTAAAGGTTAACTTTACCTCTCCTCCGACGCATACAAGTCTCCGCTAAACATTGCGGTAGCAATGACAACTAAAGCCGGCACAATCCAGATAGTGAATACATACACTCCTCTTCGTCGGCATGTCTCGACACACATAGGTGCAAACTATAGGGGAAAAAGTTAAGTTTCACCTAATGCATGGATATACTTTTGCTACCTTTATGACACATTATTGTACGTATAGCGCTACTTTATTCAGTTGTTTAACATTCAAAATGCCATAAATCCATTATTCAAACACTTTTAAACTTTTAAACACATGTTTGACATTAATTTTTCTAGAGAATTTAAAAAATATTGATTTCTGAGGCATAATGTGTCTATATATACAAGGTAGTTTCATCTGAGTACGGTCGAATCAAAAGAAAGAAAAAAAGAAAGACTTTGAATTGGTTGTGGATATCAGAACAGAAACAAAACTGATAAAGAATTGACTCTGATGATTGGCAATATTTTGGGGAAAGAAGACTTTTAGAAAAATGTTAACAAGAAGTTCATGTAATTGACATACCTTTGACCAAAGGTGGAGTGCGTGTGCAAACGATGAAAAATGCACACACATGAAGAAGTAGTGAATGACGCAAGTGGCTATCTTACACATATACTGAAAAGGAAATCACATAATAATAATAATAATGATAATGTACGAAATATGAGAATGTATTTATCAATTATAAAATATGACAGCCTTTGGATGAGATTGAAAAATCACGTGAATGTAACACGAGTGACTTCATTTTTTTCTTATTCAAAACAAGCAAATAATTTTAAACACTGATAAAGTATAAGTAAAATATGAATCATGTCGATTGTGCCAGCAACACTATTTGACCAAAGATAATCAGACAGATTAATATAATGCAAAGGAAGAAAAAAATCACTGGAAGCAGACTGACATCACTATATTTTGGCAGACACACTGAATAAATCTATACTCAAGTGGCAATATTATATCAAAATTTGATTTACTGCAAGTTTACATTAAAAAAAAAATTGACTGTATTAAAAAAATATATATTAACAAATTTAGCGTCACTGCATATTGAATAACTTGCTAATGTGTTAGCTAGCCCAGATACGATTATCTTATTGCATTTACTAATGTTATGTCTTGGAAAATGTGCGGTTAATGTTTAAAAATTTACTTAAAGAATGCTGTCTGGCGAGAACTGGAAACTTTCTCATTGAAAGAAACGAACTTGCACAATATTGTACAGATACATGAAGTTGAAATTAACTTAATTACAAACACTGTTTTTGCATAATTTAAATCAGTGATTTTCATTCTTCAAAAAAAATGTGATTACGTATATTGTCACGAGTTCTTTAAAAGGGAGGTAATTCAGTTATTACCGGTTCAGGGTATCCCGTGTTTTCTGACCCGATAAATGAAATTTGTGCGGCAATCAGAACAACACACATATTGCTTGTAATGAACATCCCATCACTCCGTATTCTGAAACAAACATACATGATTATCCGACCGATTAGACTAAGATACAAACTATATTATTATATATGTCTAGTCAATCTCTATGCAGTGATCTCCCCGTATTTTTTTTTTTGATAAAGTTCCTTATCAGGGGAAGTAACTGCTGAGAGCCGCTTGATTTAGCAGCGCAAAATGAGGCTCATGACGTAAAACATGACAACAGACACAAACAATAAATTATACATGTACATTTTGTATTAGTTTTCTCAATTTAAGAATGATTTTGATTTTTTTCTCAAAGTTAGAACTGCTTCTTGGCTATCTGTCGTACTGGGATGCTATCAAGTGCTGTTCACACGAAACATTATTTCTGTCTGGTTTATTTTATTATTTTTGCATTTAATTCGCTTTGATGCGTGTTTTGTGTTCTGTGTATTTATCTTGCTTTGATTTAGGACATAGTCTTTTATAATTTATTTGGATATTAAATAAACAATTATTAGCAAGTAGTATCTTAGTTCAGGGCGCCTTTTATAACAACACGGTACATAGCAAGACGTTTGTGTAAGTTATAGCAATTTTAGAGTATACCATAGTAATAGGGACTTATTATAAGAAATACGGTACTTGGCAAATAATAAAGAGCGCTTATTATAGGAATTGCAATTTGACAATGAGTAAAGGGCGCTTAATTATTATAAACAAAATACGGCACTATGCAATTTGACAATATACCATAGATAATGGCGCTTATAATAGAGAAAACGTTACTTACGGTAATAAGCAAAGAAGACTGAGAATTAGGACACAGCATACCATAGACATTGCACCGCCGACTTCGGATATAAGAGTCATGTGATCCAAATCATCGATAGACAACTGTAAAAAAGACAATTTAAGTTGTAATAGTCGCGCGATCTAAACCGTCGGCAGACACTTTAAATATACTGTACGTAACTCTATTTTTTATGGTTTTATATCATAAATATGATGCTCAAAAGAAGATTTATCAATGTTGTAAGTTCCAAAAAAGCATTATTTGTAAAGATATTACCGAATTTACATTTCATGTTAATAAAGGGAGATAATTAAAAATTTATTTTTGATAAAGTCAAAGCCAAATTTTTCAATAAGAAATGAATGCATATATCTTAATAATTACTTATAATGCGAATAAATATTTGCAGTACATATTAATTATATTCTTGGATATTTGAAAATTGTTTTAGAAGAATAATTATATTCAAATCCTAATTTGAAACATACAGTATCTTAAAAAAACACTGGACTAGTTAGGATATTAGAATCATCGGAAGACAACTGCAAAAAGACATTACAAGTTTTGAGATAAAGGTCGTCAATAGACCTTTCTACGACGCAGTCCGTTGCTATGAAAAATTGACCGGAATGAGTATTTTCTCGCGCATGCGCAATCTGCGTAGGGCAAAAAAACAAAGCGCCATACATAGAAATTTATTAGAAATTCATAGACAATTCCGAGTTAGGTTAAGCAAAAAAAAATAGAAAATTATATAAAATAGCTTTTAATATAAACACAAAAGATACCTTTTTAGCTTTGTGGCCAAGATTGCCGTAAAAAGGCACGGAAAAGACGATTGTTTAAGACAGAACTTACTTGGAAAAAATACAATATTGAACAAATATCCTGGAATGTAATAAAAATCATAAATTATAAAAAATGATTTTTTTAATTTCGATTGATTTAAAGTTTTAAGGTAACGTTAATGAGATCAAGTAGGCATTTTTCATTTAGTTTTTCTTATCACAGAAACAATGCTCAAACAAAACGTTTATTTATCAGTAGTTCCTACAATTTCTTCACTTACAATAAAAAAGAGAAGAAAAAAAAACAACATTAGAAAAGACACACAGAGAAAAAATAATTGAAAACAACACATATTCCGCTATAAGCACGTTTTATATACATGCACATGTATATTTCGATAATTCTTAATTCTACAGAAAATCTGTTTTACGTGCTATCAAAAAAAATCTAACTATCTTACCTTGGTATCATTGTGCAGCTGCATTAGAAATGCATAAAACGCCATCTTACAATCTGTAAAGAATTCAACTTTGTCTCATGAATTCACAACGAAAAGTCCAGTCGGATGCTGAAACAACACCGCAATATTCTCAAAAGAAAGTTAAAACAAAGTCAACAATTAAGTTAGTTCTCGAACGAAATAAGATAGCTTTAATTATTGTCGGTCGTGCCTTCTGGTAAAACATGGCAGCCACCGATTATGGCCGTTCCTTAAATATGATGATCATAATTACATGTAATTTGACACAAAAAAAATGAATCTTAGCAAATGTGGTAAATGGTTTTGCATGTTATGAGATTTCAAATATGTTTTTATAAAATTTAGGAAAAAATAACTAATTATTTTACCAGGAGAAACACAAAGTCCGCTGTCGTTAAAAAAGACGCCTGGTGAATGCGTGTGCAAAGAATTTTTCATTATATTTATATATTGCAAAAGACTGTAAAACATATGATTTCGTAAAATTATCTTTCGCGAAGAGTGAGTCTAATTAATAGGAAAGAACGGTTACGACTTTTCATCTCCGTGAATTTACAATTTCAACTTCACGATTTCAAGTTCATGAATTTACTATTTCATTTTCATGAATCACGATTTCAACTTCATAAATTCTCGATTTCAACTTCACGAATTCACGATTTCAATTTCCCGAATTCACGATTTCAATTTCCCGAATTCACGATTTCAATTTCCCGAATTCACGATTCCAACTTCGTGAATTCGCGATTTCATCTTGATTTCCTCATAATGAAGTTGAAAATAAATCGTGAATTCGTGAAGTTGATATCGTAATTCGTGTAGATGAACCCGATGAAATGTCTAAACCGTTTTTTTTTTTGTTGTTGTTTTTTTTTGTTTTTTTTTTGTATATTCATTATAGTACCGACGATAATTGGATGTATACGAGACAGATCCTTTGAATATTGCTAATACTAATAAAAGTGTTTGTCTTCATAGATTTTGTCTTTTTTTTGTCTTTAAACCTTCACAAATTGCTTCTTAAGATAGAAAGATATAAGCCATATGAATATGATATGCATATATACATGTACTTGTTAAACAAAGTAAATTATTTCTATAGACAAATACGAAGAAAACGCTATTCAATCGTGAACAGAGTAGAATCATAATGAGTCAACGCTTTTCATTTATGATTAAAACAACAATTGTGAATAAAAAAGAATAAAAAGAATGAAATGCTATTCAATTGATTCCCTGTCAGCTAGGCTACACATTTTTCTCACCCTGTGAATAAAAAAGAAAAAAAAAGAAATTCTTACAAGAAAGCTATATTTCACAGTAATTCGCAACTCTTGATCTTGAAATTACGTAGAATAGAATATTGATTGTTGAATGCTTGTATATGAGGTACGCTTCGAAATTGATGATATAAGCTTATGGGCGGGTTCTTGCAATCACGCAAAATTTAATTAATTAAGCGAAAAGTCTCGGAGCTTTACGGATCGATATAGAACTGCATCGGCCGTGTACGCCAAAGTATTTATCACAAACCAGTCACGATATTTGCGGGATAAGATTGGGATCTGACATATTCATTTCCTGTCAGAAAATATTTTTTTATTTGAACAGGTTATTAGTAGCAGAGATTTTAAATATACGTACGTTCTACTATATAAAAGCAGCATGTTCAATTCATAATATTTTATTACTTTAATAAATGCCTTTTAAAATTTTCTTGAAAATTAGCATGAATCTGAAGGCTTTAAGAGCGAAAATTACTTAAAACATATTTATTCTAGCTCAATTGCGGAATAAGTTCTTGCGACTTAAATTAATCACTTTCGTGTCCAGTTACTGGAACCAACCATGGTCATGACCCGTGTAGGGCTGGAACCCATGATCTCTGGGTTGGGAGGCAGACACCTTAACCACTAGGCCTCCGCTCCGCTTATAAAAATAATAATAATAATAATAATAATAATAATAAATAAATAAATAATGGGAATAAGAATATTAATAAATAATAATAACAATTATAAATAATAAAAACTGTGAGAGGTTACTTACTCAACAAATGTTCAAACAAAAAAATGCACGTAGAATTGGTTCCGCTATTTACATGTATTGAAATAAATGATGTGTTGGCATTACTAGTACTTGAATCGGGATTCGTGGATAACAAGCAGTTAGAATTTTTTTTATTTTGTCACCGTTTGTATCCGTTTGTAGATACACATAACGACCAATAACAATGCACTATATATATCTAACATATAACTTAGGAATTTGCATGGATATAAAATGTCAAGTTGTTTATGTAACAGGATTTATCAGGTATTTAAAGTTAAGATGAAAAGAAGGCGAGGCTCTAAAAAGCTATCGCGCTCTTTGACAACAATTCCGTGACGATTCTAATCAATTTATAACATCAGATACTTGTTTTGTATTCTATTTCTCGTGTTTACATTTAATTTTTATGTGAATAATAAAATAGTTCAAGAGAAATCTGTTCGTATTAATCCTCTTTCTACGCCTGAGGTTTATCTCAGTCACATCGATCGACACTTTAAAGATCATATGGCGACTTCCCAGCTTTACTGATGGAGGAAGCTCTAAGTCCCCCTCCGTACGTTATTTTAGACGTTATTTAAAGTCGTGTGCGAGCGGACACCTCAGTAGAATAACCAACATTCCGTAAGCTAGCTCGAAAACTTCCTCACATAAAAGAATCTACAGTGAAGGGCAAATGGTTCGAAGTCGCGGACGTCTCTTCATCTCAAGTAAGCTGATATAATATGCAACCGGGAAGAGTGGATCCTTCAAATATTCAGCAACAAATATATATTGTGGCGTACATGTAAATCAAAACTGTTAACTAACGACATATTTCTGATATAATTCAATATATATGAGCATCAGCTAGTTAATCATTTTCGCTTGTATTCGTATTTATATAATTGTAGTGTCTATTCTCACTATATATATAGTTTACCATTATAGTAGACATATGTTTAAAGCAGAATGTTTTTATTGTATATGTAGGCTCACGGTCTATATACACATGTTTATATTTATTGCTATTGTAATGCACCAGATAATAAATATTGACTTTGTACCACTTGTTACATGTTCGAGGAAGTGCGAAAATCAGCGTGAACCGTTATGCCCTGTTAATGCGGCGGTTTTGTTTTGGCGCCAAAATCGGCGGATAACTTTTTGTGTTCTAATAATTATTGTAGTTCTGGGGCTTTTAGTGTGGACTGTCCATGAAAGTCGGGACATTTACCAGAGATTTGAAGTTTAAAGTGTCCACAATTCGTTTGGGGTATTGCCATGGATGCAAATGACTGCATGACGCATATAATAAATCTTAAATGCAATGTGTCATTCATTTCTCGTTTTTCCCCTGTGATTTTTTTTAAATATACACGTTTGCTAATCATTGTTAAATCTGAGTGATGAAGTTGATTCTTTTCATTTTTTCACAAGTCATAATAACCTGTACTTCGTGTTTTTATTTGATATGTTTTCAATCAGGTATACATATAAGTTATTATTATATAGAATTAATATAATTATACATGTATACCTGTTTCAATACACGTTGTTTTCTGTCAACCTGTTTCAATATTCATCTTATGCTTTGGATTTTAGAAGAGTTTATCCGGCCAAGTTAGCATGTAAACCAGCAGTTTTGGTACATGTATGTTTTTTGGAAACTTTTATAGGAATAATAATAATTCAATATATAGTAATATACGCACATGTATAGCGCTAGCTAGTTTCAGCTAGAAACATAGATAGCATTTATCTTATTTACATCTATTTTAACTGTACATACTACTGGTTTATTGAAATATTTCCTTAATTTGTCAGTGTTTGATTACCGCTTCTCATTAATCCCTACTGTATAGAACCTATTGAGCAAATTTTATAATGGTAATCGCTGTATCATTCATCGCAAATCTATACTAAGCTAGTACAATTCAATTTGTGAAATTTCTTGCGAGCACAGGAAGTAGATGAGTTTACCCAATGTGAATACGGTTCACTCAGTACACCATTAATGCACGTGGCAGTTATATGTATATAAGTTGTGAGAAAACAGCGATAAAAATAAATCTTTCAAAATCAGAGACTAAATATATGCAGTAGATCTAAATCCTTACTATGTAAAGAGATGGAAAACATTTAGTGGTGTTCAACTACCGGAAGTAAATGTCTACTTTCATTTTCAGATGAAAACTGTTGTCAAATGTACTGTTTAGATGGCGATCTTTCAGAGTCAAGGAATTCAAAACGAGAGGTGACAGTTTATTGTTATGAAGAATGAGCTTTTCATCAATTTGTTGATGTCTTTATCTGTGTAATTTATGAAAATTTCAGCACATATATGAAGAAATTTTGAGGCCGATTTATCCGCCCCCATTTCAGTTGATATTAACTGATTAATGATAAACAAAAGCCAGAGCAGTTTTGTGAAAAAATTTAAATTTGAGTGACCGTTTAAATCGGGTCCAATATAAAACGGGGGTGGATTTAAACAATTTAAAAATTTCCAAGTTTTGGGAACTACCAGTAAATGAAAAAAAATTAATTATGTCATATCACAGATTTTGAGTCTTAACTTAATTGCCAAACCTCAGGTTAATTTTTAGTATTTAAATTAGAAATTGGAGGGCCTAGAAAATCCCCCAAAAGGTCCCAAAAAGAACAGGTACTGAAACCGTACTGTAAACCTTAACTTTTTATTTTTGTACGTTAAAGTTTCTAAATTTTGTCTATCATTAAAGCAAGGGTTTGTGAAGAAATTAAATTTAACTGAGCAATGATTTGTAACATTTCTTTGAAATTGATCATCTTTTTTAAAACATCGATTTTTAAAGAATTTTAGGCAAAAAATGGAAATAAATTTTTTGGGGTTTTTAACCCAATATAAATAACCCAAAAAACCCAAAAGGAAAAAAATTGTTTTTAAATTATAATGGTTAATAAAAATTTTTTAAATTTAAAAATTAAGGCGATAATTTCAATTAAAAAAAATTGGGTTTTTAAATGATGTTTAAGAAAAAAAGTTGGGGAGGGAAAATTTAAAAAAAATTGTATTTATTTTATTTCTAAAGGAAAACATTACGAAATTTGAAAAAAACATTGAGGGTTTATAATTAATTTTACCCGGGGGGTCATTACGGGAAAAGCTACCCTTTTCTTTTTGCTTTTAAAATTTTTCTTGATTCAATTTAACCTCCAAGTTAAAAACATTTTATTTCTAAAATTAATTCAAAAACCTCCCGGGGAAAAATTTTGTTGTTTTAGTTCTTATTTACTAAAATTAGCCTTTTGTTTAACCAGGGATTTTTTTTGAAATTTTGGAGTTGTAATCTCCAAAGTTTATCCAAGAGAAAAAAAAAGTTTAAGTTTTTTAGATAGGTTTTTTAATTTTCCATTTTTTGGAGACAAAAATTTAAAAATTTTTTAATTAGGGGTTTTTTTAAAAAAAAAACTAAAAATATCCTTGTGTCCTTTTTAAAAAAAATCCCTTAAAAATGTTGAAAGGGGGTTTCGCCTGAAGGGAATTTCCCTAAATTTTAAAAAAAATGTTTTATCCTTTGTACAAGAAGTGATAAAAAAAGAAACGTTTGACAAAGAAGAAATTTCCCTTTTACAATGTTTTACTTTTATATTTTGTTTGATCCAAAAGCAAATTATTTGTTTCAAGTGAAAAACAAAAACAAAATATTGCCACCTAAGTTTTTATGGTGTAACTTGCCCTTTTTTAATAAATTTTTGTTTTTCTTTAAAAATTCCTGTAAATAATATTTGGTTTTCAAAATTTTTTAAGAATTAAAATTTAGGGCTTAAAAAAATTTAAAACAGCCCCCCCTTTAAATTTTGGGAAAATTTACATAGATTTTTGCAAAGACTTTTAAAACAATTTCTGGAATGTAATTAGTTTTAAATTTTTTGAAAAACCCCCTTATATGGGTAAAAACCATTAATTTTTTTTATTTAATAATTTGGGAAAAAATACATATTTACTGTTCAGGGAATAAAAGAGTTTATAATTCTTATAATATAATTGTATTCAGTAAAAAAACCCTTTTTTGTTTAAAACATTTTTTTTGTTAAAGGGGGCAATTTTGGTTAATATTTAGGGAATTTGATCAAAAATGTATTTTGTAATTTGGTTATTTTATAATGGATTTCTTGCCCTTTTTTAACTACATTTTTTGTAGTTATGAAAGAAAAGGAACTTTAAATGAAAAATTGGGGCCTTATATTTTCATTTTGCCTTAACTTTATTTTTTTAAATTCCCAAGCAATTAATTTAAATAAAAAATTTTTTATCAATTAGCTAAAGTTTTCACCACATTTAGAGTTTAAAAAGTTTTTTTTTTCCCCACTTTTTCTTTTAATTTAATTTTTTTTAAAAATTGGTTTTTTTTATAATTTAAAAATTTTTATTTTTTTGAAAAATTAAAACAAAATTCATTTCTTGTAAAATAAATTCCCACGAATTGTGGCTGAGGGGTAACGCCTCGAAGATTTGAGGCATCAGAATTGCAGCCACCTTGTATCCCCTGTGCAAGAGGTGACTAAAGAGTCTATGTATCAGTTTGATCCAATAGGTGATGTCTCAGGTTTTGACCCATAGTGTTGCTCTTGACATTCGCCAAAATCATCTTTCCTGTTTCGGCGCCATATGATCTTAGTTGTATAGGTGCACAGTGAAACCAAACAAAAACAGGGAACATATGATGCCACTTGTTTTCTATGTTGAATAACCATTATGCCTTTCTTTTATTATAAATCTAAGTTTTCTAAGTTTTCCGGTGAAAGTAGAGTAATTCTTTCTGGTGAAAATACAATTATTTTCACTTGGAGAGTAAGGAACGTGCATACTCATATTCATATACTTTGAATTCATTCACTATTTTACTGGCTTGCAGGGAATACCAAACAAAAAGAAAAAGTTTTAAATGCATATCATAATAACTAATCTGTCTATTTCAGTCAACAAAGAGGTCACTTGAAGATTTGTTCTAAATCAGTTGTGTTTGTTCCAAAGGAAGAGCAGTTCCCTGTAATTAAAGTGAGTTTCAATAGACAAGATTTTTAGTGAAAAAAATTAGTTTTGCTAAATTTATACTAAAAAGTGCTTATATTGCCCTTTAGTTCATATCCTTTCACACTTACTTTTTATGTTGGCCATTGAAAGAAAAGGATGAGCATTCCTATGCACTTAGGCTTTATATAGTTCTCATTCCTATGCACTTAAGCTTTATATAGTTTTCAATCCTATGCACTTAAGCTTTATACAGTTTTCATTCCTATACACTTAAGCTTTATATAGTTTTCATTCCTATGCACTTAGGCTTTATATAGTTTTCATTCCTATGCACTTAGGCTTTATATAGTCTTCATTCCTATGCACTTAAGCTTTATCTAGTTTTCATTCCTATGCACTTAAGCTTTATATAGTCTTCATTCCTATGCACTTAAGCTTTATATAGTTTTCATTCCTATGCACTTAGGCTTTATCTAGTGTTCATTCCTATGCACTTAAGCTTTATATAGTTTTCATTCCTATGCACTTAGGCTTTATCTAGTCTTCATTCCTATGCACTTAGGCTTTATATAGTCTTCATTCCTATGCACTTAAGCTTTATATAGTTTTCATTCCTATGCATTTAGGCTTTATATAGTTTTCATTCCTATGCACTTAGGCTTTATATAGTCTTCATTCCTATGCACTTAAGCTTTATCTAGTTTTCATTCCTATGCACTTAAGCTTTATATAGTTTTCATTCCTATGCACTTAGGCTTTATATAGTCTTCATTCCTATGCACTTAAGCTTTATATAGTTTTCATTCCTATGCACTTAGGCTTTATATAGTTTTCATTCCTATGCACTTAGGCTTTATATAGTTTTCATTCCTATGCACTTAAGCTTTATATAGTTTTCATTCCTATGCACTTAGGCTTTATATAGTTTTCATTTCTATGCACTTAGGCTTTATATAGTTTTCATTCCTATGCACTTAGGCTTTATATAGTTTTCATTTCTTTGCACTTAGGCTTTATATAGTTTTCATTCCTATGCACTTAGGCTTTATATAGTTTTCATTCCTATGCACTTAAGCTTTATATAGTTTTCATTCCTATGCACTTAAGCTTCATATAGTTTTCATTCCTATGCACTTAGGCTTTATATAGTTTTCATTCCTATGCACTTAGGCTTTAATATATAGTTTTCATTCCTATGCACTGAGGTGTTATATAGTTTTCATTCCTATGCACTTTATTCATTTTTAAAACCATGTCTGCATTACACATTGTTTAATTTTTGTGTCATTCCAAATGTTTTAAAACTAAATTGACAACTCATGAAGGTGTTGCTTAGAAGCTTGCATTATTGTTAATGACCTTCACACTCTACTGCCTTTTAAACTGGATCAATTGGTCAGTTTAAAATCAATATGGAGTCCTGTTGCACAACATTTGGAACACTGATAAATTTTCAATGATTTACAATTTACATCTTTAAATGCTTCTGGTAAACCCAGTCATTTTAATTATAAGTTAAATCTGTAATTTCAGAGTTCAAAAATTCCATTTGCCCGCTTGTAATTATAAATAGAATTTTAAGATAATTTGATGCAGCACGACTAGAAAAATGGTGCCTGGATTTAGAAGCAGCTCGTCCTGCAGGATGAGTGACCCTGAAAATATTTTTCAATGCCTGAATTTTATTAAGCAAAACAAACATGCAATGACTTGTACATATAAATACTTCTGTTTTGAAATTTAACATGTTCACCTTTTTTTTTACAGATATCTCTTAAAAACACAACAAATATTGATGAATATGCAGGTGATCTTTACTCCAGGTACTCTTTTTTTTAACTAACAACAATTTTGCTTGTAATGCAGTACAGTCAAGTTGATTGATATATTTATTTTTGTAAAATTAGATTAGAGTGGTGCTCTTGGGTACCCTTGTACTTAATATGATCATAAATTAGTAAGAATAAAAATGACTAACTCCCTCTGATTTGTTTTACTGATACATGTATTGTCTGTTGCATATATACCTGTATCCATCAAAATTTAAGTATCCATGAAAGTTTACTTGTAAGTCGGTGATTAAAGAATTATAACATATAGGTCAGTTTGCCATGTTTATAGATGGCGCTATGTATGCATGGCTGAATTTTTAACATGTGGGACTACTCATCTAGGGACTGCTATTGGCATGGCCAGTCTGCCTTAAATTTCTTTTAATACAGCAGAGTAAATGTCCACCCTTCAAAAATTTTAGGGTGCAGATGTTTGCCCCTTCTAAAGATATGATGGGGCAAATGTCGGCCACTTCAAAAAATGGCAAATGTCTGGGGGCCAATTTAAGGGGAGGGGGCTGGTGGGGGCTGGGCTGCAATGTCTGGATACCATAACACACAGACCTTTTACATATAATGAGAAATAGCAGTTGTATTCATGTATAAAAGATAGAAAAGTCAAAATTTAAAAGAAATCCTTGAGTTGTCCAAATCAAAATTATTCGTAAAGCATAATTAATATATTTATATTTCAGGCTAAATGACAAAGCTTTAACAATATCTTCTGATGTTTACACAGAAATGAAAAAGGACAGTATTATTTCACCATATGTATTTATAAAGGTATGGCTTATAGTTTAATATAAGATATCTATATTAGTCATCGTTGGATACACACAGTTGATTAACATGTAACATAATGTGAAATCAACCATGGGGAAAATGAATTCTATTACGTTGATATACAGCAACAGGTGCGTAAAATATCAACCAATGAAATCATGTTTAGCAAAATTTATATTCTTCGACAGCACAGGTAAACAACTATCAGAAACAAAATAGCAGTGCCCATGGTGTAAACCTGTTTCACGTGTCTTGCTAATATAGAAGGCAAAATTATTCCCAAATTAAATTATTCCATAAGCAGACAGCACAATAGTAATATTTTTTCTAGAATAAACTTTTTACCAAAATTATTTAGAATGAGCTTTGTGATTGGTTTAATTGCCTCATGAAATCATGAGACAACCAATGAAAAAGCTGTCTCAATTGACACGCCTCTTATCAACTCTATATCTGGGAAAAATCCCACAATTTATAAATTTTTTAACGTTAATGGTTCGGCCGTGGGTATCCGATGGTGCTATTTGTTCTGCACGTTCTTTATATTCAATACCATAAAATTATCGGGTTATTTTCACGTGCATCAAATTTCATGATTTTGACAGTAATCTAAAATTAGCGAAACTTTTTTTAGTGATTTTGTTGCACATGTTCCTTTTTTGCCCTGCATTTCTCTGCTGTCATAGAGATACCACTTTTTTGTCAGAGATTTATTGATTTCAAAGTTAAAAATTTGTTTTTCAATTTTCCTTTTGATTTATTGCTTCCAAGTAATGTATTTGGTATTTTATACTTATTGCCTTGTTTCACCTTATTGTTAAGATGATATTGTAAAGCTGTTTATGTTTGTATACATTCTTGCAAGGTGTGAATTATCTTATTTTTCTTAAATGAATGAAAACAAAAATACCTGTTTCTTCGCTCTTGTCATTTAAGATGTTCTTAAAGAAATAAAAAAATCAAACAAAAAAAACATTTAATTTTAAACAACCATGAATATTGGAAATCAATATTTAATGAATTGATTTGTAGGTATTACAATGTAAAATATATATGACTAAACTGAGTAGCAAATCTAAAGCAGAAAATCCAGTTCCAAAATCTTGTGAAATCTTCGTATTAAATTGGAGGAAAATTTAGAGAATATATTTTACCTGATATTCAGTGCAGGCGAACATAGCAAAAATTAAATACTTGCAAAAACTCCTGATATATGGTATTTAAAAAATTAATGTCAGTAATTGTCTTTTTCTATGTAGGTTTTTAGAGGCACTCACAATGTTACATGTAAAATTTCAACATAACTTGGAAGCATTATTTCATGAATGATAAAACAATAAAGTAAAGCCTTCCAAAAGCTATTTTGATAGCTTCCTGACATGAAAGAAACTTGGGGATCTAAACCTGATAAAGGGACGTCCATGGCATAGTAGTTAAGGTGGTTGACTTCAAACCACTTTTGTGCCTCACTACTGTAGGTTTAAATCCCGACAGGGACTTTATATTCTTTCATGTGAGGTAGACATCCAGCTAGCTTATGGAACCTTGGGAGGTTCTACTCAGGTGCCCCTTTGTGCCTGAAATAATGCATGGAAGGGCACCTGAGGTCTTCTTCCACAAGTAGAGCTTGAATGTAGCCATATGGCCTATACTGTGTCGATGTGATGTAAAACCCAATCAAACAATCAAACCTAAACACAATAAAGGGGCATGTGTATAGTAGACAACCATATAAGTACTCACTGTCATAGAGGTCACATCTCACATCTTATATTCATCATTATATCATTTTGTATACCCCACACTGAATTTGAAAAAAAAAAACAACCATAGTTTCCTGCTTTGAGGTTACATAGATCATTAAATACTAAAGTGTTATGTAAGCATAGCTTTTATCAATATTTCAGGGTGCCAGGGCTCACACATTTTCCTTGAACTATGTAACAATAGATGATTGTCTCCCTTTGATTAGTCAACTACACAGAGCTTCCACATTACCACCAGCAGATCAAAATACCATGGTAATAATAAATGCTTCTTAAATTTAATTTATTAAAGGCACATTTTGCCCCATAAATGCTTTTATTTTTAATTCTCAAAAAAATAATATTTTTGGTTTCCTGTTACATTTGTTATAGCCTCAAAAATGTTACTCATTTACCAATAACCTGATTCACATATTAAGACCGTTGCCTATTAACAATTTAAAGACTCATAGTGATTTAGTATTTTGTATGGAAGTCAAATTAGTACTTTGTTTACATTTTGCTGCTTTTTAAAGAAAATATTTTAACATTCAGAACTACTTTCTTTAGGTGGTAAACATCTTACATGCTCTGAAACCATTATTGAAACTTTATAAATCTCATGATTGATCTTTCTTAAATGACTGAAAAAAATATTTATTTCTAAGGCATAATGTGCCTTTAACCCTGTACTTGTGCTAAAATGGTAATTTTTTTTAGAACTAATTACATTTTAATTGTGCTAAAGCTTTAATTGTTCTAAATGGCTAAATCTGTAATTGTACAAGAACTGTTATTGTGACAGTACTGTTATTGTACAAGAATGACACGTACTGTGCTAGAACTGTAATTGTGATAGAAAAATAATTGTGACAGAACTATAATTGTGACAAAACTATAATTGTGACAGAACTGTAATTGTTATAGAACTGTAATTGTGAAAGAACTGTAATTGTGAAAGAACTGTAATTGTGCAAGAACTGTAATTGTGCAAGAACTGTAATTGTGCAAAAACTGATGTGACAACAAGAACTGTAACTGTAATTTTTTGGCAAGAACTAATTATTGAGCAAGAACTGTAATTGCGCAAGAACTGCAATTTTACAAGAACTGAAATTGTGCTGCAAGAACTGTAATTGTATAAGAACTATAACTGTGCAAGAAGTGTAATTATTGGGCAAGAACTGTAATTGTGATAGAACTGTAACTGCAGCCCGAACTGTTATTGTGCTTATCTGGTTTTGTTTGTAATTTGATTTTTTTATTTACAGATAAGTGCTATTGTGATGTCCAGACAGTCAAGAGTAAAATTTAACACAAGCTGGTATGATTATTAATTTAAATTTAATTGAAGGGCTACAACTCTGAATGAAATTGTGAAAATACATTACTATCTTTTTGAATAACATATCTTTATATACAAGTCAGTATGTTACTTTACTATTGTGGTTAAGATTCAATATTTCATTGTGATATAAAATGTAGTAAATTTCATTTACAAAATGCTTCTTTTATTAAGTGTTTAATGAAATTGTATGAAGCAAGCTTATATTGAACTTTGAATGCAATTAATCAGACTTTGATAGTAAAAAAAACTGAAATATATATTAAATAAACAACAGATACTATGAAAGTTAAAATAGTTTTTGTTGTTGACAAGGTGCAAATAAATATAAATTCATGTACAGAAAAGTGACTAATTTACATGTACATATTGCAATAAGTCATGGAAATGTATGTAATGAAAAGTGACATAAAAACATTATTATAACATTACGAATAGCTAGCTATCCAGCTAGCTTACGGAACCTTGATGGTTTTGTAACGGTTCTACTCAGGTGCATGTTTATGTCTGAAATAATGCATGGAATGGCACTTGAGGTCTTCCTTCCAGTAAAGCTGGAAAATCGCCATATGACCTAAACTGTGTTAAACAAAAAGAAATACCAACACAAAAAAGACAACAATAAAAACCAAGTAATATGTTTGACATATTTGTAGCTATTACATGCAGTTCCTTGCAAACAGAATGGAACTCTGTGATCTACATATATATTGCTCAGTTTTATGTGTTGTTTCAAAATCCCTAAAGATTGTTATTAAAAAAAAACACAAAAAAAACAGTAAAATTCCATTGTTATTAAATGAATTGGAAATAGGTTAAAACTGGTTCTGCTCTGTTCTGTTTCAGGCTGGATGATCTGTATGAGAAGGTGGAGCTAGAATGTCAGGCTGACAAGATTATGCCCCTTGTTACTAATCCTGGTCGTTTGATGGTTACAACTTCAAGATTGTACTTCCAACCATTTAACAATGTAGAAAGAGTAAGTAGAAATCTTTCTTAGCTTGACTATTTAAATTATAATTCCTGTCCGGTTACTTCAAGAGGTAGAGCATTTGACTTTAAATTGGGTGACCTGGGTTTGATTCCTGAACGTTGAAGATCATTTTAATTGTGATTGATCATGAAGTCCTTTCTACAGTCATTTGCACTGTACAGACTGCTCTTGCATGTAAAGAAGTTATCATTTCCTTGGGAGAATGAAGGCACCTTGTACTAGTAAACTGCTTGACAGCCTGCCCAGGAATAATGTGTTGGCTGAACTGTGTTCTAGTTAATTCAAAGGGGCTTAATGCTGCGCCCAGTTGACCTCTGTCAAGTGACTTGCCATCATGATTATGCAGACCTAGCAATAAATCCTGTCCTCAAAGGCAGAACCATGGTCAAAGTTATTTTGAATAAAACTTTGGTTCTAATTTTACAAATATTTGTATTAAAATATTTTTTATTCTCTAAAGTAATAATTCTAAGTAATAATCCTAAGTCATAATTCTAAGTCATACTTTATTAAGAATTCTACATCATACATCAATGATTGCTAAATATCTAAAAATTGTGCTTTGTTTAGTAGCCTAATTTATTTCAAGTATTTTTTTGAAATGTCTAAAAAAATTTACAATAATTTGACATGTAGAACATGTACCACTATTTTTCATTTTCAGTCACCTGTGATAAAAGTACGGCTCAAAGATATTGTTTCACTGATAAAAAGAAGATTCTTACTAAAACAAATTGTGAGTATTAGAAATGGTTTTTAAAGTTTTTACTTTAGTCTCAACCTTTGCCCTGTTGGAACCAAAATTTATCTTTGGCTAAACTGATCAGGTTCTATACTATTTGTAGCTCAGGTTTTATTTTAGCCAGCCTCCGTGGTCGAGGGGTTAGAGTCGATGACTTCTAATCCAGTTACCTCTCTGGTGTGGGTTCGATCCCCGGGAGATTCTTTGGTAGTTTAGCACGAAGGAATGTAGTCTAGTACTGGTGTAACTCTCCAGGAACGATGGTAAGGAAACTACCCACCTATATTACTGAAATACATGTACTTTTGGGAAAAGGCGTTAAATGAAACAAACAAACAAAACAAACAAACAGCTTGACTATTTGAAGAATATGGAGAGCTATTGTACTGAATTTTGTGTGCAAGTTGGTATCACCAAAACCTTTTTAATTAAAGGAATGTGTTGAAACTTCAAACTCTTAATTGAGAGTATAAATAAGAATCTCAAGCGGCTGAGTATCTAGCTCGAGGGTTACTGTTTGCAATCGGAAAGAAACTGTGTAAACTGTTGTTTTCACTTATACATGTAGTAATGTATGAATTTACAACTTCACTCATAATGTTAAAATGGCATCTGATCCTAAGAAAGTAAGTCATTCTTAAAGGTGCAAAAGGACATCATTAGTAGCATGTAACTGAGGTCTTCTGCCACGAGTAAAGCAGGAAATTTGCCATATGACCTCGAGGTAACCCCCCCCCCCCACAAAAAAAAGTTATTTATCATGGTTTAGAGATGAATTGTTCGTTTTATTCATACAGGGTTTAGAGATTAAATGTTCTATTTATTCATACAGGGTTTAGAGATTAAATGCTCTATTTATTCATACGGGGTTTGGAGATTAAATGTTCTATTTATTCATACAGGGTTTAGAGATTAAATGTTCTATTTATTCATACGGGGTTTGGAGATTAAATGTTCTATTTATTCATACAGTGTTTAGAGATTAAATGTTCTATTTATTCATATGGGGTTTAGAGATTAAATGTTCTATTTATTCATACAGGGTTTAGAGATTAAATGTTCTGAACATGGAACTTCACAAGCACATCTTTACCTTGCATTCAAGACAAAAGATATAAGAGATTCATTTTATGAGAAAATCATGGATCAACCAGGTTTGTAAATATTGCTGCAGGTGACACTTTAAGTTTTTCAGGGGATTTTGAAGGCTATAAATGTAAACTTACACCTCTGGGATGTAATTATACTCAGTGTGTTTATTTGAGCCGAGTCAGGACAAAACCAACATAATGGGTTTGTGACCAGCATGGATCCAGACCAACCTGCGCATTCGCGCAGTCTGATCAGGATCCATGCTGTTCGCTATCCGTTTCTCTACTTGTAATAGGGTTTGTATGCAAACAGCATAGATCCTGATCAGACTGCTCGGATGCGCAGGTTTGTCTGGATCCATGCTGGTCGCAAACCCATTTTGTTGGTTTTGTCGTGACGCGGCTCATTTAACTTGTTTTAGGGAAGCCATGCAGCTCACAGCCACATGTAATGTTTATATTTCCACCAAATTCCAGGTGACTTCAAAGCAATTACATTTCTACCAATTCCCCAGGGGTTTAGGTGACCTCAAAACCAATTGCCTCTAATTAACCTTTGTGGGTTCAAAACCCATCATGGTAACTATTTAAATTCATCTAGCTTACAGAACTGAAGACAACAATTGTTATACAAAGTCTTCCTCCACCAGTAAAGCTAGAAATTTGTTCCATATGACAGTATTGGTACCAAGTCATTTAAACAAAAACAAAATAACCAGAAAGAAAAGAAGAAAAAAACTTGAATCTTTCACTGGCATGAAATTTGTGAGTTATGAAAATACAGAATCTTTTAACGTTTCATATTCATGTAGTCATTCTATTCAAGTTATTGCACCACGTTTTAAAGATGTTTTTAATTAAACAAATTAGATGTTTTAAGTTTCAGTATTTAATACTTTTTAGATTAGTAATATTTTGTCATTATTTAGTATTTGTATTTTACTTTGTTCATTGTCTATGTTTGTAAGATAATCATAATGTGATGATGTTATGACGTATGTAGACACTGTTGTACTGTATTTACAGAGGTGAATTTACAGATGCCAGATCAGCAGGACATGGCCATAAAATGGCAGAATGGAATCATATCAAACTATGACTATCTTATGTATTTAAACAGGTACATACATGCTTAATATAAAGTCCATGTCTACTTACTGGTTTTAAAAAGGTCAGCAGCATTAACCACCTAACACACAGACAAAAAACAAAATAAAGAAAAGAAAATACCTTTGGTTACAGATATATTACATGACCTACCGTAAGTGCAGTAATGGGTTAACTCGTGTTAAATATTATAAAATGAGTCAATTGCATTAAACCTGTTACTGCACTTAAAGGTGATGAAATTTATTATTTTAATGGTACATTAACCTAATAGACAACATGAATTATCATAAATTTTTAGAATACTTATTGATAATGTTTAATTGTTGTGAATGTGATATAATTACATATTATGTGGCTGATGGGTTGCCTTCATGGACTAAGGCATCAGAATTGCAGCCACTGTCCAACCTTGCATGGTCGTAAGAGGTGACTAAATGGGTTCAAATTACATGTATAAGAGTCTATGCTTCTCTCAGCTCCAGCAGGTGCAGTGGTTTTGACCTCTGGTCTGGTATAAGTTTGTTACACCGGAGGTTAGCCAAAATCATCTTTCTTGTTTTGGCGCCATATGACCTATCATATTTTATCATATAAACTGTGTTGGTACGCTGTAAAACCAAACAAAATGAAAAACATATGATGTCACTTGTTTTCTGTGTTGAATAACCATAATGCTAAAGTTTGCTGGTGAAAGTACAGTCATTTTCTCTTGGAGAGATAGAATTGTTTAGGAAAGTGCATAACAATATTAATACACTTTGAATACACCCATTGTTTAACAGGCTTGTGGAAAATACAACTTTACACAATCTGCTCAAATCATACAACCCATAGGAAAAACACATTCATGCAATATTCCCTGTAAATAATGCATATTTAATATAACATTCATTGTGACATTATTTTCACCTTTACTTTTCATATGTAATAACTTCAAACTAGCTGGAACAGGCCCTTATTTAAATGTATTTCGTATAAGAATCTAATGTCTTGATATTTCAGTGCTGCAGACAGAAGTTTCTTTGATCTAACACAGTATCCAGTCATGCCATGGGTTATACAGGACTTTACAAGTGACCATCTAGGTAATTCAACAGTAGGAATTTTTAAATCAGTAAAGATCCTTGTCTGTCTTAAATTATAATACATGTATTACTGGTATTAATTTAGCATAATGTCACTTATAAGTTGCATGCCTTCAGAAGAGCCTAAAAAATTAAAGAAAATCAACTCTCAGAAATATGAGCTAAGATTTTAAGAAAAGTAAGAATCTTCACAATTAAATTAATGATTCATGTGCAATGAGTGAATGATTTTGCAAAATTTATCACCATATTTCTAAATTCTACTGCGTGACTAATGCAGTCAAGGCTATTTTGCATTTTTTTTACTGTTATTTGGTCATCTACTCGGATTGAACTTGTGCTTTGCAATGTGTTAATTACAGTATAATTTCATTCAACTCGCTCAATAAATTTAGAATTAAACTTACACTCATTCAATAGCCTCTATAATAAATTATATTCTCACTGATTTTCATCTGTATTTAATGTTTACAGATTTAGAAAAACCAGAAACTTTCAGGGACCTTAGTAAACCTATAGGAGCATTAAATGCAGAAAGACTTGAACGAATGAAGGTATGGTAAAAAAAAACCCACACATTTCATGGTAAAGCAAACAGTGCCGACTATGATCAGATGAGACAGCATGAATGTGCCGGATTGTCTTAGTCTTTACTGTTTGTATACTAAGTAGAATCAGTTGGTGCTAGCAATGTAAGGTTAAAGTCTATCAAACATTAAGCAAACTTCTTCATGTTAATTTTTGTTTTTATCAAATTTAGAAATTTTATATGTCTTTAATACATTGTTAAATATTTTTCTTTTTCTTTGAATCTTTGTGCTTTAAAGGGGAGTACAAAGTCTGAAATATTACTCTTTTTTTCCCTTTATTGTTTAAAAATCATAAGTATAATAATGATAGTTGTTCAAATTTAAGGTAACTGCTTCACAAACAAATTAAAACCCTGTCCAGTGCATCAAGGGTCTAGTGCACCTCCAGTGCACTTTGAAGTCGATTTGAGGTGCTTATTGAAGTGCACTGTGACTAGAGGTGCACATTTTGTGCACACACTGAGTGCACTTTGTGTGACCTGTAGTGTGAACTCAAATGTTAAATTATTCTTTATTTTCATATTTTAGGAAAGGTATGTAGATATGCCGGAGCCGAAATTTCTGTACGGTTCACATTATTCAACGCCGGGATACATCCTGTTTTATCTTGCCAGACTGGTTCCCGAATATGTCCTCTGTTTGCAAAACGGAAAGTTCGACCAACCAGACCGAATGTTCAACAGGTAACAAAATTCATAGTAACTTATTTCTTTAATTTGTTTTGTAATCATGAGTTCTATGGAACACTTTGGAGAAAAGGATTTATTTTATGGCCATGAAGGTATTGCTGACGAAAAAAGATATTACTGCAGCCAGTACAGTCAGGGATCCTTGTAACAGCCAAGTGATTTAGATTGTTGCTCTTCAATCATTTGCCCCTTGCTGTTGATTAGAATCTTGCCAGGGACTTTTGAAAAAGAAAATCCCTTAAATAGCCAAAATATCATTGTATTCAAATGAACAATGCAGGGTCATCATAATTATCCTCTTGATTTATGATTATGCTGCCTTTTCATTTATATTAATACCATCAAAGTAGATAATAAAAAAAAATGTGTTTCATGCTGATGGTGAAATCTGACATATTTTGATGCTCATTTCAATATCATTTATATATATTACTAACTAACTAATTTTCTTTTTTCTCAGCTTGTGGGAAGTTTGGCAGAATTGTTTAAACGGTGCTGCAGATTTTAAGGAACTGATTCCAGAGTTCTTTGATGGGAGTGGAGAATTTATGATTAATTCTGGGGTAAAAGTTATAATTGCTATGAAGGTTTAATAGCATAATATAAGTTTATAAGTCCTTGTCGCTGACTGGTTGCCTTTAAGGGTTGAGGCATCAGAATTTCATCCACTTTTTATCCCTGTGTGATGGTAAATGATGACTTAGTTGGTTTGAATTACTGGAGTCTATGCATCTCTTAGCCCCTGCAGGTGAGGTGGTTTTGACCACTGGTTTTGCTAACGTTTGTAACATCTGAGGTTAGCTAAATAATTGTTTATGTTTGGTGCAATATGACCAAAAAAGTGTTATGTCACTTGAATTGACATTATGCTCATTTTTTTTACTGTCAATCTGAGATAAATTAGTTGTATATTTAAAAAGATTGACTTATTTAATGATGATAAAACAATAATTGATAATTCCAAATTTTTAGGATAAAAAATATAAAAACTGCCTAAGTTATAAAAAAAGACTGCCCCACTCATTTTTAGCTCACCTGTCACAAAGTGACAGGGTGAGCTTTTGTGATCGCTTTTCGTCCGGTGTCCGTCCGGCGTCCGTCCGTAAACTTTTACTTTAAATGACATCTCCTCATAAACCACTAAGCCAATTTCATCCAAACTTCACAGGAATGTTCCTTTGGTGGTCACCTTTAAAAATTGTTCAAAGAATTTAATTCCATGCAGAACTCTGGTTGCCATGGCAACCGAAAGAAAAAACTTTAAATATCTTCTTTTAAAAAACCATAAGAGCTAGAGCTTAGATATTTGGCATGTAACATCTTCTAGTGAGTGTCTACCAAGTTTGTTCAGATAAAAGCCCTGGGGTCAAAATTGGCCCCGCCCCGGGGGGGTCATTGATTTTCCCTATATGCATATAGTAAAAACTTAAAAAATCTTCTTTTAAAGAACCCAAAGAGCTAGAGCTAAGATATTTAGCATGAAACATGTTCTAATGGGTGTCTACCAAGTTTGTTCAAATAAAAACCCTGGGGTCAAAATTGGCCCCGCCCGGGGGGGGGGGGGGTCATTGATTTTCCCTATATGCATATAGTAAAAACTTTAAAAATCTTCTTTTAAAGAACTCAAAGAGCTATGGCTAAGATATTTAGCATCAAACATTTTCTAATAGGTGTCTACCAAGTTTGTTCAAATAAAAGCCCTGGGGTCAAAATTGGTACAGCCCCCGGGGGTCATTGATTTTCCTTATATGTGTATAGCAAAAACTTAAAAAATCTTCTTTGAAAAAACCCAAATAGCTAGAGTTAAGATATTAAGCATGAAACATCTTTTAGTGAGTGTCTACAAAGTTTGTTCAAATAAAAGACCTGCGCCCTGGGGGTCATTGATTTTCTTTACATGTGTATAGCAAAAACTTAAAATCTTCTTTGAAAAAACCCAAATAGCTAGAGTTTAGATATTAAGCATGAAAAATCTTCTAGCTAGTGTCTACAAAGTTTGTTCAAATAAAAGCCCTGGGGTCAAAACTGGCCAGGCCTCAGGGGTGTCATTGTTTTTAACTATATGTGTATAGTAAAAACTTAACAAAAAATCTTCTTTTAAAAAGCCCAATGAGCTAGAGCTTAGATGTTTAGCATGAAACATCTTCTTATGGGTGTCTACCAAGTTTGTGCAAATAAAAGCCCTTGGGTTAAATTGGCCCTGCAACGTTGGGGAGGGGAGGGTGGGGGTTTGGTGGGGGGGGGCCTATATACAGGTGAGTGACCTCAGGGCCATCATGGCCCTCTTGTAAAAATTAAGCATTACCAATTCATTCCACAATTTATTTTTATATAAATTTCTATTGGTCATGTGGGTAATTTTTTATTTTTTTGCACAATTAAAGAATTGAACACAATCATCGCAAAATGTAAAGTTATTTGGCTTTTACGTGTTCACTCACCATTTCATAATTTTACTTCAATTTTATGTTTTCTTATACTAGGTATGTAATTTTGGAGTGCGGCAAGATGGACGACCAATAGAAAATGTGGATATACCACCATGGGCAACAGGTTAAAAAGACTATATGAGCCGTGATGTGACAAAACCAACAAAATGGGTGTGTGACCAGCATGGATCCAGACCAGCCTGCACATCCGCGCAGTCTGATCAGGATCCATGTTGTTCGCTTACAAACCCTATATTAAGTAGAGAAACTGATAGTGAACAGCATGGATCCTGATCAGACTGCATGGATGCGCAGGCTGGTCTGGATCCATGCTGGTCGCAAACGCATTATGTTGGTTTTGTCACGGCACGGACATATTATGTTTTTGTATTTCTCTTACTCTTATAAATATGATGTAAACTCAAGGCAAATAAACGGCTTTGAAGGTATTAGGTAACCTCAGGGTTGGAAAGAAAACTTATAATAATAAATAGAAAGTTTTTAAGTGACTAATTTTTTTGTAATTATCACTATATTTCTACTGCCTTACCAATGCAGTAAGGCCAATTTTTTAATACTTTGACCCCATTTTGGTAATTTACATGGATTGCTGTTTGCAATGTGTCATTTAATATATTTCTTCACTTCACAAAAATTTACTTTTAAACACTTTTTAAAAATTTTCATGACAATGAGAGTGAATCTGGAGGCTTGCTGCTTTAAACTTGAAAGTGCCAATATGTCTATAATTTTGTCAGTGTAACTGTTTGAGATAAGTAGTCATTCACCTTTGGATAAAAATAAGTAATTACTGTTAGTTATACAGGAAAGCCGGTTAGTTTGACTGCCCAATGTGATACAACTAAACATCCGTTGTGGCATAAAAACGGGACATTTTAAACTTAAAAACAAACTAGAAGTACATGGTTTTTTTAGATTCAAGAGATTTTATAAAGAAGATGAGAGAAGCACTAGAGTGTGACCATGTATCGAGACATCTTCATGAATGGATTGACCTGATATTTGGATACAAACAACGCGGAGAGGAGGCAGAAAAAGCCGATAATGGTGAGGGTCATGTCTGTTTATGAAACATAAATATTGTCATACAGCAAATTTTGATCTTTGATTTCATTTTTTTTCTCCTCAGAATTTGAAAATTGGGAAAGTCGAACAATGTCTTAACTTTTGTGTTTATAATGTTATTTGAGAGTTTGTCCATAAAATGTTTCTTTGTCAACCTTTAAGTTTGTATATAATTATGTAATTTGAAGTTGGAGAATTAAAAACATGTATGCATTTTCGGATAAAATTTAGTTTAGCGGATCTTAGAAATAATCAAGCATGTAATTATCCTGTTATTATGTTACAATATGTTATTCTCAGTTTTGTTGTAGTTAAAAGAAATAAATTTATAAAATAGTGGGGGTGAGTTTAAGCAAGCATGCAAATATTGTTTATATTCTAGGGTCAGATAAACTAGATGTGTTCCGTATTTTCTATGATTATTCTATTGTTTCTACTTTGATTGCTGCGTAATTTAACATTAGATGTGAAGAATATTTATTTTATAAGTGAATCATATGTTGAAAAAACCTCAGTGGAGTCCCTTTAAAAAAATATTGGCTTTAAAACGATATGTGGTTGATAAACATAAAACCTTCAAAACATTAATTATTTGTGTCGCCTTGAAAAAGGCGACATATAGAGGTCACTTTTGTCAGCGGTGTTGTCGCGTCAGCGTCCCCATAAGCTTGTCCATAGCATAAGTCAGTCATTATAAGGCGGATTGACTTCAAACTTGGTATGCATGCTTCTTATAATGAAATGAAGTGCAGTGCACAAGAACCGGTACTCTGCACTTCTTAATTTTTGAGTTATTGCCCTTTGTTAATTTTTATACCTTATTTTTGTCCGGGCCAATTCTCCTAATGTATAAAAAATTATGGACTTGAAACTTCATAGGATGATAGATCTCATTAAGCACAAGAACCGGTACTCTGCATTTCTTATTTTTTGAGTTATTGCCCTTTGTTAATTTTCATACTTTATTTTTGTCCAGGCCATTTCTCCTAAAGTATAAAAGCTATGGTCTTTAAACTTCATAGGATGATATATCTCATTAAGAAAAAGTGCAGTGTATAAGAACCGGTACTCTGCACTTCTTATTTTTGAGTTATTACCCTTTATTAATTTTCATACTTTATTTTGGTCCAGGCCATTTCTCATAAATTATAAAAGCTATAGACTTAAACTTCATAGGATGATAGATCTTATCGATAAGAAGTGCAGTGCACAGAAACTTCCGCTCTGCACTTCTTGTTTTTTGAGTTATTGCCCTTTGTTTATTTTCATACTTTATTTTTGTCCTTGCCATTTCTCCTAAACTATATTGTTCACAAGGCAACACATCCGACTCGTGCAGTTCTAGTTTGTCTTTTGTTCTACTCATTTAGGTAATGCATTGTCTCTATTCAGATTTCTAACTTCTAAGGTATTAGAATTAGTGATGTTCTGATTGTCGCAAGTCAGCAATAATCAGTTACTGTAATGTAAAGCGACAATAATAGATTTACAAAAATTGTTCCGCGACGTCGTCGAAAATGTTTAAAGTATCAAAGGGTATTAATTCTGACGGTAATTTACCTTTAGGAAAACCTCGCCGATCGCAAAAAAAAAAATCATCTAAGAGACAATTTGGAGTTGAACAGGATCAATACGTGATGTAAAAAATAGTAATATAATTTGATGTGAATGTTATTATTTGACATCCATTGAAAAATAAAATCCATTTCGTAAAATTATGACTATATAAAACTGTGTTAAAAGTGCTAAATGAAGTTCATCTTACTGAATATAATCAAGTGCCTTGGGAAGAAATGTTACTTCCCTATTTCTTTTTAACGCGACTTTATTCGAAAAGTTATCGATTATGTCCCATCCGATTGAACCGATGATCGATTGGGACAAATTTCATTCGATTTCCATCACTTATTAGAATAGTATACCTTCAATGATAAATGACTGAGACTAAAATGTGTGTTGGAACATCACAGTAAGATCATATTTCAGTATATATCAAACAAGGTGCATGAATGGTTAAATATTAAAATCTCGCCTTTTCTCCCACCAATATGCATTTTAAGAAGTCTAATTCATCTGTTCACACCAATTTATAATTATATGATCACAAATGAAAAATGTAAGAATCAGCAAAAAAAATGTAATATTTTTTTTACTTTGCGATCATGATTTCTGCAAGCATCTAGAGGTTACTCGATAAATATCTTCAGGTATAATTTTTTTCTCATTTCAGTATTCTATTACCTCACTTATGAAGGTTCAGTAGACCTAGACAGGTATGTAGGTGGTAGAAAATCTTGTTTTTGCTTTCCAATTTATGATATTACATAAATCATTTATGTTAATTATTTTTTATAGGCAAAGTTATCAGTTTTTTGTAAATGCTATTATATAAATTCACAAAGTATAAGTTTCTTTTTTAAATTAAAACCTGTGTATTTAATTAATATAATGCAGAAAAAAACTTTATCTGTGACTTTGTATTTCAACTTTCAATATGATTTACATTGAATTAGAATTTATTAATTAACCAATACATTGTTAAAATATTTTTAATGGACTTGTCCTTATTTCAATCTGGTCAAAACCATTTATCAAATTTAAGGAATATTTTGAAATATGTATGTACTGACTGAATTACAAACAGTGGAGGCCAATATCAGATGGCACAGATCTAGGTTTGAACTGGTCATCTGTGCCAGATGATTTTGGTCTGCACTGGTCACATGTGTGCAAGCGATTGCCGCCAGCAGGCTAATGGTAAAGGATGGCTTGAATATCAATAACTTACTTTGTAGTATAAAGGACCCAAATGAGAGAGCTTGCATGGAGATACAGATAATGGAGTTTGGGCAGGTTCCTAAGCAGCTGTTTACGACACCCCACCCTGTTAGATCTACATCAAAAGAACATCCACCAGACATGGCCATTCCTCCACATGTGATATCTCACGAGCATAGGTCAAAAACCCCAGGTGAGAGAAAGACAGTTATGTTAGTTATACATGGATAATTGAATAAGGGGGTCTGTGGCTTAGTGCTTTAGGTCGTTGACTTCAAGCGCTTGCCTTTCACCACTATAGATTCAAGCTGTTGTCAGCAAAACGTTGGTCCTCCATCAGTAAAGCAAGAAAGTCACCATATGACCTGTACTGTGTTTGTGTGATGTAAAACCCAACAAGATAGAGAAATGAAAAGTTGTTGCCTATAGATGATATTTCTTCACTATTGAGAATTATCAGTAATGGAACAATGATTTTTATATGTAGGAAAGATTACTGATGAATTGTATGAAAATATGCCACTGTAAAAGGCAAATATAGTAGGGGCATGTTCTTTCACTCAGACCACTATCAGACTGAACAGACTCAATCAAACCGAGTCTGCAACATTTCCAATTTTGTCATTCTGGACGTTCTTTAGGGATTCTATTTCCCTCTATAATTCTATACTGCCAGTTGTTAAGGACAGACTTTATAATGTTAATTGTGTGTCAAACTGCAAAGGATCCTTTTGATTTTAAAAGTAAATTTTCAATATGACGGAGTATATAGTATATATAAAATAAAATGATTATATTTTGAGAATCAAATGTTTCAAAAATTTATGCTGTTTGAACAAATTTTGTAAGACCTTATTTCGTGAAATAGAGAGTAAACTACCAACACCACCACCACACACAGAAATGAAAGCATTTGTTATAATTTTTTTAGTACAACATAATTTCCGTATTTTGACTGGTGTCTTGCCAAACTACTTTCTTCTAAATTGAATCAGTACACATAATTTAAGGGGAAGTCATTCAAATTGATATTTAAAAAAAAAAGAGAAAAATGTATGAAATAAACAGAAAATTCAAGTGGTATGAAAATTATCACATTTCACTTGTGGCCACTACCAGTTTTGAAATATTTATTTTCAGACACCTCCATGAATATAAATCCTGTATTCATAGAAAAAGAAATGAATATCCTCTATAACTTTGTAGCTCCAAATGTTGTATAAATAAAAAAAAATTCTTAGCTTAGCAATTATGTAAACAAAAAAATTTTACTTTGAAAAAAAAATCATTTCACTTCATTGGAACAGCTGCTAGTGTAATTTCAAAATAATTTATGATTTTATTTTTTAAATATATTAACTTTATTCACTTCTTTCAAATAGAATTCTACAAATACTTCAGTGCATAGATTTATTACATTACATTACAAAGCCAGAACCTATATGAATATCATTGATAAAGTATCGTCTTCCTTTCAATTTAAAAAAAAATGGCCAAACCAGAAACCTAACATCCTACACAGAATCCGTGAAATCTTAGACATTGTCAACAGAAAGCACACCTTGAACAAAAGTGACAAATACTTTTACTGAGAACAAATTTTTTTGTACCTTCATGAAAACATCTGATGCATTTTGAGTAGTAGATTTTATGTATATTCTAGAGTTTCAGATCTTATTTCCGTACTGGAAAATAAAAGGAAGAGTTAGAGATCTATCTAAAATAAAAAGATAAATGTCAGACATTGGCTTTGCTGTTGTGGAGATAGCACTGTATTTATAGATGGCTACCCTCTTATTTATTTTGGGGCTTGAAAATATGGTTCGCTATAGCCGAAACTTCGTTTTAAGCAACTACGTATTGGCGATGGTATTTATTATAAGTTAAAGAAGAAATCGGCCGGGGATAGCAGATTTAGTTCACTATTACCGATGATTCGTTATAAGCGAGTTCATTATAAGTGGAGTCGACTGTACTAATATCATCATATAATGCGGTTTGGATTGGAGGGATGGATATTCCGATCAAAGCTGCAAACATGCAAGATATGTTTTCTTGCATATTCTACCACATTTCATTATATTTTAAGCTATTTACCTTAAAACAATTTTCCATGGAAATTTAAGTCTTTGGTACCAGTCACTATTTTCTTACAACAGCATATGAAATTACAACTTCATTCATAACAGTAAAAGGACATCATCCTTAAAGCATGCCATTGTACAGTATGCAACTCATCTGGCACAGCCCATGCCAGATGAATTTTCTGGCATGTGTAAAACTAACGGAAAGGCCAGTCTATTATGCAAGAATAGCTGTTTATTTTTAATCCAAGGACATAGCAACTACCGTAATTTTAATATCTGGACATTTAAGGGATTTGTCAGAAAATACACAGAAACATTAAGTTAGACATACAATTGCATTTATTTGATCTCAATTGAAACCAAGTTCCTCATCAAGTTCCAGTCTGCTTCCTTTAAATATGAGGAAACATGGTTGTGAACTGATGAGGCCTTGAACCCAAAATCCCTTGGTTGGGTGGCAGACACCTTAACCACAAGGTCGCCCCCCCCCCCCCCATTATAATAATATTTTGATCCTGACCTTGATCATGATTATGAACTGTTTGTTTAACACATTGACGGGAAATATATATTTTTTATTATTTTCAGAAACAGACCAAGTAGAAGAAGATGCAATATTACAGACTGTAGATTTTACCAATATGCATAAAATTGTGACATTTTCAAAGCATAAGGAGTGAGTAATCATGTAATTATAATTAGGAAATAGATATCAATTCTGAGTGCATTGTTGTAGAATAATGCACGGTTTGAGTTCAAATGCGTAGTAATATAATCACGAAGGCCGATAGGCCTGAGTGATTTATTTCAAAGCATGTGAACGAAAAACATGCATTATAATACAATAATGCACGAAGAATTAATATCTATTTCCATTCTAACACGTCAAGAAAAAATATAATATTATTATTTAAAGTTGGACTTTTATGTTTGGTGTTTTAAATTTGTTTTCCGCCTCAGAAGTTTTTCCAAATAGAAACGTTCTTTAAAGGCCTGTTCCAGTGGGTTTTAAAAGAAACTGTCGTTAAATCTATCGTGTGTAGAAACATTTTGAGAATAACGAATTTTGAAAACGTTGGAAAAACTTTGTTTGTTTATTTTATTTCCCTTTATAATTTTTCAAACGAAATACAAATTATTAAAAGTGAAATAAATGTAAAACTTAACTCGTTTGCGACATTAAAATAGCGTACTTGATTTGATTGTTTTGCACGTGCTGTTTGGCGCTACATCGTGACGTCACGTAAACAACACTTTAAAGGTCTGTACATCGTTAACGACTGAATTAAAGATATTGGTGTTCGGATTAATTTTCTTAGTTAGACCATTTTCTTTCATTTTAGATAGTTTTCACAACAAAATTCGACAAAAATGTTTTTAATTAATAAGATTTTTCAAAGAAAATGGCGTCCTTAATGTGAAAATACACAGGGAGATAATAAGAACGGCGAGTGCATTGTTGTAAAATAATGCACGCTTCGGGCCTTCTTTGTTTATATAGAAAAATTTCAGATAGTGTTAGAATGAACATTTAAGGAACTTGCATTCATTAACATGTTAATCTAATTCTGTGGCTTGACTGGTGAAAGATTATGTACAAAGGTTGACAAATGACAATTGATTGGTTTAGCTTAGATGTTTGGTAATTTGATTGCATTAAATTTGAATTATGACATTTTGATTGGATAAGCTTTGATATTTTGACAATCTGATAGGATAATACTCAGCATATGACTATTTGATTGGCTTAGTATTTATTTATAAGAAAATGACTGGCTCAGATTTATGGTCATTTGATTGGATATGTAAAGATAATTATAATGACTATGATTGGATAAGCATATATAATTATTATTATCATGACAATTTGATAGGGTAGGATTTAGTGCATAAGTACATGTACATTACTAATAAATTAGCTAAGCATAGGTATATGATTATTCCATTGGCTTACCTTAGATAAATGATCATTTGATTGGCTAAGCTTAGATTGTATGAGAATTTGATTGGATAAGCTAAGGCATATGACAATTTGATTGGATGACATGAGACATATAGTTTGATTATATGAACATTTGATTTTCTAATCTTAGATTAGGACAGTTTGATTGGCTTAGCTTAGATATATGACAGTTTAATTGATTTAATTAAAATTTATGTAAATTGATTGATACAACTTAGAAGTTAATGACAATTTGATTGGTAGGCAATGCTGTGGGTCAGCATTGGTAGTTATTTGTTGGTACATAATCTGACATGGACATTTTTGTTAGGTACATCATGTAGTTGAATGCCAGTACATTGTACATGTATTTGACTGTTGCACTGTTTAAATCTCCTTCTGAAAAAAATAATAGAAACATATATCGTACACTAGTACAGAGAAAAAATTTCAATTTACAAATTATGTTACTAGGTTTTCATTTTGTTTATTTTCTTTTTAAATCTACTATTTTGTTATTAATCACAGTGGCTTTTATTTAATATATAAAGCAAATCAGCTTTGTTATAAAGTGTATAGTTTATACATATATCAAAGTACTTTTTTTACCAAATTTCAGTTCAATTACCGATGTAAAATTATGTTTGGAGAAAAAGATGGCATTTTCTGTCTCACAAGGTAAATTTTGTTTGAACATATTCAAAAGCTTTATCATTAATGTATCCCCTTATTATTTTTATGCCCCCACAGAGTGGGAGCATATAGCGTTGCACTTGTCCGTCCGTCACGCCGTACGTCTGTCTGTCCGTACGTCCCGAAATCTTGTGAACGCAACTCCTCTTAAACCGGATGGCAGATTTTGCTTAAACTTTCAGGGATGAACAACCTTAATATGTAGATGGTAGTAAAGGAAGGAATTTTCGCTGCGACCAAATTTAACAGAATTATGGCCCTTTGTTGATTTTTTCACTATATACTATGTAGAAAATTTTTGTGAACGCAACTCCTCTTAAACCAGATGGCAGATTTTGCTTAAACTTCCAGGGATGAACAACCTTAATGTGTAGATGGTAGTAAAGGAAGGAATTTTTGCTGCAAACCAAATTTTAACAGAATTATGGCCCTTTGTTGATTTTTTCAACTATATACCATTTAGAAATTTTGTGAACGCAACTCCTCTTAAACCGGATGGCAGATTTTGCTTAAACTTTCAGGGATGAACAACCTTAATGTGTAAATGGTAGTACAGGAAGGATTTTTTTTTCTGCGACCAAATTTAACAGAATTATGGCCCTTTGTTGATTTGTTCACTATATACCATATAGAAATTTTGTGAACGCAACTCCTCTTAAACCGGATGGTAGATTTTGCTTAAACTTCCAGGGATGAGCAACCTTAATGTGTAGATGGTAGTAAAGGAAGGAATTTTTGCTGCAACCAAATTTAACAGAATTATGGCCCTTCGTGATTTTTTCACTATATACCATATATATGTTGTCAGTGGGGGCATCTGTGTCCTTTGGACACAGTTCTAGTTTTTTTGGCAATTTATAAAAAGTGAATATTTTTGGAATTACCATTGTTTTGTTACATTCTTTGGATCATATCTCAGCAGCCACTTAACCTTACTGGCTTTGCTGGGTAACTAACCAATAATGATCAATTTCTCTGCAAGTGATCCACTACTTATACTTATTCCTCAATAATCAGTAAAGAGAGACAAATGACTATGTGAATCATTTCTGACAACAATGGTCATGAAAATATTTACGCCTCGTTTGAGAATCAAACAAGGGAACCCTGGATTACTAACCCAGTGCTTTCTCTGTTGAGCAATGCTCGGGGACACTAATTTTTGTTGACATGTAATAGCATAGAACCTGTCACTAAAGAGAAAGATAGTCTGTATGACTCTGTGACGGTCATGCAACATGCAAGAGCATGGCCGTTTATATGCACATTTTATCCTATAATATGTATTTTGTTGTTAATTTTGATGATATGTTTTAATAATGTAATGCATTTAAATTGTTTTGTATACTGTACGGGAAAATGAATTATTCAAGGTTTTTATTAGCTTGACTATTTTCGAAAAATATTGATAGCTAATGTACTCAACCATTCATTGGTTTTGGCATTGGCCTCACACTTCGGTTAAGTTTTTGTGTTCAAGTTGGTATCTCCAAAACCACAAGGCCCATAACTCTAACAAGGATTTTGACAGAACTATGTTTTAGAAGTTAGTAAATTCAACATTGTTCAGGCACTGAGAACAGTATCAAGCACTGAGAATAGGTCAGCACACTGTCCTACAAACAGCTCTTGTTTGATTTCTGTTTTACAGAAGAAGAAAAAAACAGTTTACCTCAATAATCATATTTGATTGGAATATATTAATAATATTTTATTGTGATTATTTGTCTAGTTTGCCTTGAAAAGGTTACATGATAGAAAAATGAACATAAAATTCAGGATATTTGATCGACTAAAATGATTGGAACTCATAAAAATGAGTTTGACATTTTGTGTAGTGTAGAATTTCCTTTTAAGATAATCCCAGTGATTTGTTTTGTATTCTAGTAACATTTTATTTCCAGACAGTTTACTCAAAACAAACATAGATTTCAGGATATTTCCTCCCTTAAAATGATTGGCAATGCATAAAAATTGAGATTTGACATTTAGAAAGTGAAGGATTTCCTTTTAAGATAAGCCCGATAATTTGTTTCCTATCCTTGTAACACTTGTTTTTCAGATAGCTTACTCAAGTTATATTGTCTTGAAGAGCAAAGGCAGTTAAGGAGCGTTACCATTGCAAATATGGTATGATTATTTTATTTCCCATTTTTTGAAGGCCATTTATTTATATTTAAACCTTATTTTCCCAGGGATAGCAGGAGATGTATAATAGTTATAGGAATAGAGACAAATTTATGTTATAAAAACAGTACAATATAAGAAGAGTTTTAAACGGCCCCTCTTAATAGATAGATTTCCCTAAATGAAAAGTATTATAGTAATTGTTATTGAATACCGTTTAATGAAACTTGTGAGCAGAGAGTGTTCAAGACAGCATTTAACAACAAAAGAATGGAAATCCACCTTTGGCTTTCAGTAGAGAGTTAGTCTGAGATCCACCTGTCAATAGGGAGTGTGAAAATCCACCTATCAATATAGAGTAAGTATGAAAATCCACCTGACAGTAGAGAGTAAGTGTGAAAATCCACCTGTCAGAAGAGAGTATGTGTAAAAAATCCACCTGTCAATAGTGAGTGTGTGAAAATCAACCTGTCAATAGTGAGTGTAAAAATCCTGTCAATACTGATTTAGTGTGAAAATCAATCTGTCAGTAGAGAGTAAAAAGTGAAAATCCACCTGTCAATAGAGATTGTGAAAAGATCCACATGTCAATAGAGAGAAGGTGTGAAAATCCATCAATCTTTAGAGAGTATGAAAAAAAACACCAGTCAATAGTGAGTGTGAGAATCCACCTGCCAATATAGAAAAAGTGTGAAAATCCATCTGTTAATAGAGAATAAGTTGTGAAAATCCACCTGAAAAAAATATAATCCACCTGTCAATATAGAGGGTGAAAATCCATCTGCCATTAGAGAGTAAGTGTGAAAATCCACATGTCAATAGAGAGTATGAAAATCCACCTGTCACTAGAGAGTGAGTTTGTAAAAACCCACATGTCATTGGTGTGAAAGTCTACCTTTAAATTAGGAGAGTGAAAACATAGTTCTCACTGAGTGTGAAAATCAACCTTTCAGTAGGGGAGTATCATAGACATACACTATCTCTGAATAGTGTAAAACCACAACTTAATTTAGAATATTTAAGACCATCATTCTTTCAGTAGTCACTGATAATATTGTCTTATTAAGCAGACAAATAGAAATATTGTTTTTTTTTATAAATCGATTATTAATTTAAAATGGTACTGTGTTTTAAATTTTAATTGAGTGTTTACCATTAATTTATGATTATTTCAGGCCTTGTCATCTTGTATAGTGATGCCAGATTGTAAAACTGTGATATGTGGTGCTTGGGATAATAATGTGTAAGTTTTGGTTGGGTTTTATGTCGCAACAACACTGTGAACGTTTAGGTCATATGTCAACTTTCCAGCCTTATTGGTGGAGGAAGACTTTGGGTGCCCTTCCTTTCATACTATTTCAGGGATGAATGAGGATTCAAACTCTCAGTAGTAAGCGACAAGTAAATTTAAGTCAATGACCTTAACCACTAGGGTGCGGACGTGTATACAAGGAAGCTGTTTGGTTATTTAAGTTTTTGTTTTTACTCAGTTGCTGGTTTCTTCTTGCACTATTGTATGAAGAGGTACATATGGTGTTTTTTTAACTGTACAGTAGCAGTTTATTGTAATTCTATACAAAAACAAAACGGTTGGAAAACATACAAATAATTATACAGTAAGCAACGAGGCACAATTTAATTTTTTTTTTAATTTAATTTTTTACTTTCTTTCATGTATTTTTGAATACTTTTTCAGATATTTTACTTTTTATGCCCCCACAATGTGGGAGCATATAGCGTTGCACCTGTCCGTCTGTCCGTCCGTCAGTCCGTCCGTACGTCGGGAAATCTTGTGGACGCAACTCCTCTTAAACCGGATGGCAGATTTTGCTTAAACTTACAGGGGTGAACAACCTTAATGTGTAGATGGCAGTAAAGGAAGGAATTTTTGCTGCGACCAAATTTAACAGAATTATGGCCCTTTGTTGATTTTTTCACTATATACTATGTAGAAATTTTGTGAACGCAACTCCTCTTAAACCGGATGGCAGATTTTGCTTAAACTTACAGGGATGAACAACCTTAAGGTGTAGATGGTAGTAAAGGAAGGAATTTCGCTGCGACCAAATTTACAGAATTATGGCCCTTTGTTGATTTTTTCCTATATACTATGTAGAAATTTTGTGAATGCAACTCCTCTTAAACCGGATGGCAGATTTTGCTTAAACTTACAGGGATGAACAACCTTAAGGTGTAGATGGTAGTAAAGGAAGGAATTTTTCGCTGCGACCAATTTTACAGAATTATGGCCCTTTGTTGATTTTTTCACTATGTACTATGTAGAAATTTTGTGAATGCAACTCCTCTTAAACCGGATGGCAGATTTTGCTTAAACTTCCAGGGATGAAACAACCTTAAATGTGTAGATGGAAGTAAAGGAAGGAAATTTTTGCTGCAACCAAATTTAACAGAATTATGGCACTTTGTTGATTTTATTTCATTAATACTATATAGAAATTTTGTGAACGCAACTCCTCTTAAACCGGATGGCAGATTTTGCTTAAACTTCCAGGGATGAACAACCTTAATGTGTAGATGGTAGTAAAGTAAGGATTTTTTGCTGCAACCAAATTTAACAGAATTATGGCCCTTTGTTGATTTTTAGTTTTCAACTTGTGGCACATGTAGTCCAAAAAATATTTGACCTAGAGTCTTAAGATTGACAGAACAGTGGCGTGTGGGGGCATCAGTGTCCTATGGACACATTTCTAGTTTTCTTGTATTTTGACTTTCTTTCATGTATTTTATACTACTTTTCAGGTATTTTTACAGTGTAGAGTATGGTAATATATTAGACACATTACATGCACATGATGACGCTGTAATCAACATCTATTGGAGAAATGATCTTCTATTTACAGCCTCATGGGACTCTACTGTCAAGGTATACAGGATATTCATTTGTCAGATATTACCTCTGTGTAAATAGTTGGATTTCTCTTACTTTATGAATTCCCTGAGGGAAACAAATTTACAATATACGATTGGTTATATTCTAAGGAATTGTATGCAGAAGTTCAATGAGATTCAACTAATGCAATACTTGTATTTCAAAAGCATAACCTTATGACATATATTAGGGCTTTAATTCTCACTCTGACATCCACCTTTGTTTGATGTGTCACTTGGCGATCTATATGATCTATATTTTTCTCCTTTAATGCTATTTATTGTATCATATTTAGCTATGACAGATGTCATTATGTTTAATTTCTTTGCCTTTTAGCTATGACAAATGGCACTGGGCATTATATTTAGTTTGACTTTTGTCTATTATATTCAGCCATGACAGATGCCATTATATTAAAGTTTGTCTTTTTTCTGTGGCACCTGGCATTATATTAATTTTCTCTTTTGTCTTTTATATTCAGCTATGGCAAATGCCATGTCCAACAGCAGATGATAGTTTTATTGCAGCAGAATACTTTGTAAGTTTTTTGTTTTATCATGTATAGTTATTTTCTGTAAATATGTAAAATGATATTTCTCAAACGCACGCTTTTTAAATGCATGATGAATCAAAAATTATGAATTGAAAAAACTATACACACACACCTCTAGTACACGTTGTACACTTGGGAAATGCTTTTCAAAA